TACAAACTGAACTGCTAAATCAAACTGCTGGCCTGAACCTTTTCCAGTCTGAGGTATTTAACACTGCATGGAAATGTCTAGGAATCCACTCCTTTCCACCGCAGTGTTGCTTTTAAAACCATCATGTTTCCTCTTCCTGAGGACTTAGCCAGGAACGGCAGTTCTGATAGCCTCTCGAGATTTGCAGGAAGGAAGCACTTAAACTTCAGTATCATCGCTGTGAAAAACACCAAATAGATTTCCCCACTCCACAGTTCTCCCCGCCCCCCTGCCCTCCCGGTTCCCAATGTCTCCAGGGTTACACGTTGATTAACAGCAGCAAAGCAGTCTATTTGATGAGAAATGAGATCCTGTGTGATCACTACCACACAAGGTCACTTATGCTCTCTACCAATCCGATGCATTTACAGCCAGCCAGCGACAGCGCAGGCAGCAGGACTCAGCTCAAGTGGACTTCAATGCTATCTCCTGACCTCAACACCATCGGCTGCAGCGCCTGGGAGGCCAGCCTTTCAAACATCCTTTGGAGTGGCGGATGCAGAGAGTGGTCCTCATCAGCCAGAGCAGCACTGCATCTTTGTAGAAGTCGTGCATGGAGCCCAGCTTCGCACATGACTTGCTGGTTTCTTTCTGTGTGCACTAGAGATTGCAGGATATTGGCCACTGCCAGCTGGAGATCCAGCGCATGCTGAAAGAGAAGAAGAGCATGCAACTTGAGAAGATGCAAACTGAGAAGGCAAATAAAAGGAAGCCCATATGCATAATAAAAAAAAAGGATACTACCATTAGCAATAAATACACAAAACCTCTTCAATGTAAATACATGTGCATATGTGTGTGGGTGAAGAGACACTTTCATCTCTTTATGACAAAGGATAAATGATATGAAGGATTACCACAATCATTATAAAGAAAAATAAATCAGGTAGGAAGGGTTAAATGAACCTCTCCTTTTCACCAGCAGAAGTGAGTCAGTTTAGAAGTTCCACATGCTTACAGTGTACTAAGAACTTTTATTTTTGTGACTGCTAAGCCACTCACAGTAACTTAACATCCTCATCAAAATTTAAGATACACACAGCTACCAAGTTAATGTCCTGAAGACAGAAAGTCACCATGCTCATCCCCAGTAGAAGACAAGAAAAGCAATCAAGTCTAGTAATTATTGTGAGCTTTCAGAACTGTTTACTTTTTTTTTTTTTTTTTTTAAATCAACAGTGTTCTTCAGGGAAGACATCTCAAACTCAAGCAACTTCAAAAAATGTCCAACAAATCCTTTATATACAAACCATCAGTAGAGGTTTTGATTTGGGAATTGCACAAAGCAGGCAGTACAATTTTGGAACTAGACCATATTCCAGCTATTTCAAACAGCACGTATACACCGAGCTATAATGTCCAATCCCACATCCTTCTCACACTACTCGTTAACACCTGACACATCAGGAAAAACAAGAATTCATCACAACGCTTGGAAACTTATCTGATGGCCACTTCAGACATTTCTTTAAATTTACATTGTTGCCTGGAGTTTGAAAGAGAAACAGAACAAAGCCTACAAAATAAAACAATTTGTATCAGATCTCTATGTCACCACAGTTATTCAACTTGATTAGTCTGTATCAGCTTCTCAGCATGAAACAAGAGGACAGCATCAGTTTGTTCATTTCCCATGGCCATCCTTTTTCCCAGTCACTCTGAAAGCTTAAGATAGCAGGATATTTTCCCTACCTCTGGGTGTGTAGCTGATCCAACAGAGGCCAAAAGATCCAGCATCGCAAGCATAGCACCAGGGTGGATAATGACCGCATCGGAGCTTTGTACGGACACGGGTCCTGTTTGGAGTTTCACATCAGCTATGTTTTTCTGAGGGCAAACAGGAGGTGTTGAAACAGAATGATATGCGTGCCTGCAGGACAGAAAACATCCCACAGTTACAACACCCACCTATTATGAGCTTTGCATTTTTCAAACAGCTCTAAAATTGAACTGGTCTATAGACGTTATTCCCCTCTCCTTTCTCTTTCCTCAGTTAGACTTCCCTCAAGTGCTTTCTTCTTCTCAAACCTGTTGGACTTGTTTCCCCAAAGACAACCTGGAAGGGTCTCAATTTCTCAACTATGCTTGAACTCAGAAGTCTTTTCCACACATGCTACACAGTCTGAAGAACTTCAAGGTTGCCTTTAATGCCTCCTTCTTTTCATTCTAGTTGTAGTGGCAGCACACACCGACAGCAGCACACAAGTTACCATTGCTCCTGCTCTGGGGGACAAATTCAGCTTTGAATACATTTCTCCACATTTCCTCCTCAACAACTGATTATAAACATGATATCACAGAAGTCCTGGTAATCTTTAACTAGCCTACAATAACAGAAAGTTGGTCTCAGTGTACACTCATGCCAGCAGACCATATGCTCTCAGTATTTCCATTACTGCTATGGCAATTCAGTTTTACATTAAGCTGCTTTAGTCTGATACAGGGAAAAAGAGGCTTTGACATACTGACTTAGAAGCAACCACTTATGCTGAGAGCTGTAGACATGTTTTTCATTGAAACTCTTGGAGGAATCAGCTTGATGCCATTCTTATTTCAGCACAAGATTCAACACACAAACAGCATGAGCAGCTTACTGAACATATGCTTTCAAGATGGAATTTTAGAAGCAAAAGATAGCTCAACAGACTCATGCTCACCACAAAAAACCCACAAAAAACAACATAAAACAAGCAACGAACCAAAATCACCCATATTCTCACAGTATTTATCATTATGCTTACTTGTAAGAAGAAAGAAAACAAACTGGATGTAACAATTTTTCTTGAAGATCAGATATTGCCTGCCGTTTTACAAGAAGCACATACAGCTAAAAACAGGTCTCTTCCTATCAAATCAGTTGCAAGAGGCATTTCCTCTCTCCTGTTCTCAGTGACTGAGATTTACCTAACTCCTAAGCCTAACAGAAATAACACTTGGAGACTTGTTCTGCCTCACCCATTAGGCACTTTTAACTAGGAAACCTTCTCTCCTGGGAAAAACAGGACATAGATGGGAGATGAGGAAGGCTGCAAATGCAATTCTGTCCTAAACACTTTGAACATCTCGAACACATATAGCCACCCCAGCAAGAAATGTCATTTGCGGGGGAAGGCTGAGGCAATGGATTATTTAGCCTAATACAGGACACTAGGAAGTATAGCACAATCTTCTTCTGCAGGCTGGAAAATGGGCTGGATAAACAATGTTTCAACAGAAGTATTCCTATTAAAAAGGGTCATGGTAGATCAACAACAACTTCTCATCTGGAACAATTCAAGAGCACTTTTTGAAGAAAGATGAAGTTACTGATGCTTTGCTCATTCAGCTAAAACTTATAGCAAACATAAAATAGTATGTTTCTATTGTAATCAACCACTAAGAAAAAAAATCAGCCCAAATAAATTTTTCTAGTGTTTTCACAAACTCTCTAACCATCTATTTCCTAAACTTCTCTAGCAGACTCACCGATTGAAGCATCTGGCAGGTAGAGGAAGGCTTCGGTGTCTCTTTTAAAACTAAATGTTATTACTATCCTAGAGAGATGTTATTGCAGCCCTTTTCTTTGTCTTAACGCAGAGACTGAAACATGGGCAATTGTTTCTCATGCATTCTAGCAGCACAGCTCTTCACTTGAAGAAAACTGCTCCCTCTGCAATTTCACCTTGAGCGTCTCAAAACAAGTTTTACAGGATTCAGTTTAAAAATGACATATCCGTTTGTATTTAAGAGCGATCTTCAGTCAAGTCAAATTCGACTCTCCAAGACATTGTTCAAGATCAAGCTTCTGTCCGCTTTTAAGCCCAAATTTTACTTTTAAGCATCCTGATCTGCACTATCATGTTCACTTCATTAAATAAACTGTGAGATTATAATATGGTAGTACAGGGAGAGCCTAATAAAAACTCAAGCCTTTGCTCTATACGATCCTGGCCTCAAATGGCCTGGACTTCAACAGTACATACAATAAATTGGAAAGGGGATACAGTCAATACTAGGCAATTTGCTTTTCATTTAGCAATCTAAGTAAAAGTTATGTTGTTAAAGAATATGTTATTTAAAGTTTTTTACATCACTTTAAAATACTTTCTATATTTAGTTTTTCCATATAAGGAATACTTGTATCAAAACAATGGAAAAATCCCTAGTTCATAAAAATTTCTCTAGGCAGGGGAAAGAAAATAGATCCAACAAAATCCTGCCAAAGTATTCATTGAATGATACAGGTCCATGGGTCAGTACAGAACCTGCAATAAATTAATTTAGCCACACTTATACATTCTTCATATGATCCCTTTAACAGAAAAGAAAGGAAGAAGTGGACAATAGGAAAAGGCAGCGTACCGATGATGACACATAGATCTAATTTAACAAAAAGTAAAACTGAAGAAAGATTCAAACTTAAAATATATAACTGATTAAGTGCAACTCTTGATGAGAATTGTAACACCATTTTCATCTGGAAAGAAATAAGTAAGATTTATTGTAGATAAAACCTCTACATATCATTCCCCAAGAGTGATCACCATACAAACTTTGTAAAAACTATGGCTAAAAGTAATTTAAAGTGAAAGTTACATTCTTTTCTCTACTTTACCCGTCAGGCCCAAAGCGTCAGAAGAACACTTGGCAAAGCTGTAGTTCTTGATTGAAATTATACAGGACAGGTGGAAGAACAATGCATTCCAGGTAACAGGGAGGACAGCTATATACCACCATCCCAACACATGTACTGGAAGGGTCCTATCTACTCTGTTTACACAAAGGATAATACTTGGAGGGCACCGCTCCTTGGGGAAATATAGCTTTGAGAAGTGGCAGACATGTCTGAGAGAGAACATTAGCCTATCTGTGTCTCCAGAACCATCTTAGACTGCATGCATCAAAACCAGAACTGTACTATTTTTGTTTATAAAAGTTATTTGTGTGCAGTGTCTGCTTGCTCTTTTAGACAAACAATACAGGGGCTCTCCCTCAGGCACCTGTCTTATGAGTCAAAAGGCAGAAAACCAGGCCACAGCACCAAGGGAGATCCCAGAGAAGCAAAGTAAAGCAGATGGAAAACAATAAGAGAAGAGCAAACACTTGTCTCAGAAGAGGCAACTTCAACAGAATCTGACCATATCTGACATTTAGAGAAAAAAAAGAAAATCAAACAATATTTGTCTACAAAATCCAAATTGCTTATTTTTGAAAGTAGGAAGGTCCCAGCTACTGGCACTGAATTCACTAGGAATGATAAACACAACCGTGAGAAAGCAGACAGCTGCTCAAACAGACTTTTTGAAAAGCCTAGCCCTGTCTATTTTTTTACTTGAAAACATGCTTTTACAGAAAGGATCTGAAAAGTCACCCATTCTTTCTGTCCATTTTTGCTTTGAGTCTAAACATAACTTGTAAGACAAAGGCCTGTTTTGTTTGTGAAGATTCATGTCAAACACGTTCCATCACCTCAGTAACTACCCACATTACTATAGTGGTGCTTACCTGAACTGCCCAAAGCACCCCATAGGGATACTGACTTTTTAAACTATCCAATCTTTATCTTGCCTTACACCACAGTTTTCAAATAATTGCTTGCTTTTTCAGTACTACAAAAAACCAATAAAAGAAGCCTAACATATCTATTCATATAGACATATATTTATATTGTCATTACCAGGCTGCATCAACTAGCCACCTGGCACTCTTTTATTCATTACAGCCTCGAATCAGCTCCTGTTTGGCAGGCACTGCATATGTTCTGCAGCAAGCCTTCACATACCTGTGTGTTTGAGCAATTCAGTTAAATGAGCAGACAGACCAGTTGTACCTGGGAGAACAGTAACATGTAGTATAGGAAAGGGCAAACCTCAATGCTAGAGGTTAATACTGGGCCAAAGCTGTAAAAAGCCTCCACAGGAAACGCCATTTTCTTAGAAGTTTCTTCAGAGTAAATGAGAGGGAAAAAGAGTTTGGCAGCTCAGGTTTTGCTCTGTGAACTGCAACTGCTACGTTTGTTCTTAAATGCCTCAGTATCAGGAAAAAAAAAAAGGAAACGACAGTCTAAGAAGTTCTGGATTATCAGGAAAGTGGCCTTGTCCAAACCAGGACCTGCAGGATACCCAGCTATGATTTGGTGTCCTGGGTTTGGCTGGGATAGAGTTAATTTTCACAAGAAGCTGGGAGGGGACACTGCCAGGATAGCTAACCCAGATTAGCCAAGGGGATACTCAATACTATATGATGTCATGCTCAGTATATAAACTGGGCGAGTTGGGCAGGGGTAAGGGGATCATGGCTCAGAAATGGGCTGGGCATTGGGTTCCAGGTGTTGAGAGACTGCACTGTGTATCACTCACTTTCTATATACTTTTATTAGTATTGTTATTATTATTTCTTCTCTCCTTGTGTTGTCCTATTAAACTGCCCTTATCTCAACCCATGAGTTCTTCCTTTTTCTTCCAATTCTCCTCCCCATCCCATCAGGGTCTGAGGACTGAGTGGCTGCATGGTGCTTAGTTGCCAGCTGGGCCTAAATCGTGACACTTGAATAACATCACTCAGCAACAGAAAAAGGCTTCTCCTTACTACTCTACTCAAGTACAAACATCTCTTTTCAAAGCAGTTTCCAAAAGCAGCTTTGATTGTTTTGCTTTGTAAAATATTTTACATTCCAAACATGAAACTTGATGGCATATTTTAAGTCAAACACCAAGCAAGAATGACCTTATTCTCCACACATGGCACCTGCACCTCAGATAACCCATCATCTTTCAAATGTCTTTGTAGCCTTCAAAAGCAAACCTCTGCCAAACCTGCATCTTCAGATAACGAATGGCTGCCCCCTTCCCTGAGGCCTGCAGTAAAAATCTCCTTTTCACTATTTGCACAGGCCTGTAAGTCAAACTGTTGTTGAATCAGTAAACTCTTTTAAAATTAAATAAAAATAAAAATCTGCCAGACACTAAGAAGCATAAGAAGAGATAGTAGCTTAGGTGAGGCAAGGGAGAAGTGGGCACTAGGATTTCTAAATTGTGCCATTTGTGCTTTCTTTCCAAACCTTTTAATTTAGCATGTCTCTACATCAATTAGTAGTCAAGTACTAACAGTTCATTCTTTATTTTTTATCCTGTGGAATTACTAACGAGTAAGCACCTTAACAAGCCATCCACCTTCCTAGTGAAAGCACTTTTTCTTGAAAAATTAGTGAAGAAGAAATCCTGCTGTATTAATTGCTCTACTAGCACAGTCTGAACTTCTTTGAACTGCTCTTGAGAGTGTAATTTATAACTCTCTCAGATCATTTCTTACACTAGAAATTATTTGTTTTTGAATCATGAACTTCACTAAGTGCCTCAGGGGTCTCAAGACATCTCTAATGTCATACATTAGCATCACTACCGAGGATTCACTATGAAACATACCATTTATTTTATCCAGTAAACACACAAGTGAAAATGCACACCTCAGAAAAAAATAGCAACTTGAGAGAAAAATAGCCCAAGAACTAAGAAATACAACAGTGAGAGAGAAATCAGAAGCAAGATCAGCTTCTCTTTAAAGGGTTGGTACCTTTTCCTGGACAAAGCTGGCGTACCCCAGGGAGAGGGGAGAGAAGTCTCATTTGTCAGGCAAGGAGGGATCTGTTCTGCACGACTACAGACAAAACAGACAGGGGTAGGACAGAGAGGTTAGAGAAGAAACCAGAGCCCATAAGCTTGTTAGTTTAACAAAAGCGCCAATAAAATCATTCCTAGGATCCATTCTTCAGCAACAACACAGATGACAAAGGACACTACTGAATGACACGCATGAGGTAAACACGTGGACATGTACTTTTTTATGGCATGACTCTGCAGTGCTTGTTCATTACTCTGCAGAAGTTTGTTGATATGACCATGCTAGCAAAACAAAACATCTTTCAATATTAAACATCAGAAATTGAGAGGAGAAAGTAAAGCCTGACCATATTAAGTATAACCAACATGGGTAAGAAATAAAATCAACGTAAACTTTACAACGAATGAGGATCAGAAAATTTAAGAAAGATGGGAGAATGTAGTCACTGAAGATGACAGCAAAAAAAAAAGGAACTTAATGAGGTAGCTTATGCAACAACACCATGGGACGGACTTACCCCACTGAATCTTCACATCTTACTGTCAGCCAGTGTTATAACTTCTGCAGCATATGCTATGCATTCCTAACACACATTTTCCTTCCCCTATCTGAATGGTTTAATAATACTTTAAAATGATATCAAGTAAATTGGTTTCTGCACGTAGCTTTTGATTTTTGTTTTGTTTTTAAACAAGAGAAAAGCATTAAGATTTGCTGATTGGAGGCAAAATTTTCATTAACAAAACCATGAAGTTTGTATAGTCACCTACTTTAAGAAAGCCTGACCAACTGGCAACTCTATTAATATCTCAGCATAGACAGCCACACCTCCAACACTTGGAAAATCAGACCCTGTGTTTGACTAACTAGGTGGTCCATCTTGGAAAAAAGGGGTCACATACACTAAATAGCTGAGGTGCAGCAGCTCCAAGGTCCTAGACATGCAGCTTAGGTCTGTGGTTTACTTTTTTGTACCTTAATTTATGAGTCACAACTACTTTCAGACAAGCCAATCTTCAACACATACTTCAGTAAGTTTTGTTGTAATTTTGAATCAACTTTAAACTTTATTGTTCATTTCAAATCTCAAGTATAATTTAAATTCTAGTTGTTACCTCTGGGAGAGTCTTCCAGTTAAATTTAAAAAAATCAGTAATTTACAGACTAGCCAGAACTTTAAAGAATGTGCCAATCCATCTCAAACAAGATGTGTAGTCTAGATTTGTTTATTTTGGAGAAAAGAAGGTGGAGGGGAGACCTTATCACTCTCTACAACTACCTGAAAGGAGGTTGTAGAGAGGTGAGGGCCGGTCTCTTCTGCCAAGTAAAAAGCGATAGGACAAGAGGAAACGGCCTTGAGTTGCACCAGGGGAGGTTTAGATTGGATATCAGGAAAAATTTCTTCACTGAAAGGGTTGTCAAGCATTGGAACAGGCTGCCCAGGGAAGTGGTTGAGTCACCATCCCTGGAGGGATTTAAAAGATGTGTAGATGTGGTAAGTGTGGACATGGTTTAGTGGTGGACTTGGCAGTGTTAGGTTAACAGTTGGACTCAATGATTTTAAAGGTCTTTTCCAACCTAAATGATTCTAAAGTCATCATATTACTTAAAGTCCCATATCAAAGGAAACATGAACTTAGGGTGTGACCTTCAACAACAAATTTTCATTTGACTTAATAAAAGCATAAAAATCTAGTAGTTCTGTATGATAAAGCAACCAAGACAGTCTGTCTATAAACCAACAGGTTGCTTCAACACATCAAATATTACCATAAACTGACATCTCTGTCTTAATTGCTGCCATGACAAAAACATTCAACATCAGAGAGAACACTGCATACCCTGGAGAACACCTGCAAACTAAGTCAGTATTTGGTGAGATGTTGACACCTTATATTCCTCTCACTGGAGTGAAGGAGCAAAGAAATAGATTAAAATGGAAATACAAAAGCTTGCAATGAACATATTTGAAGAAAACTATTTTGTGGAACATTAGGCCAGGGGTGGGGTGGGAATAGAATAAAAAGATATAAGAAAAGAGGGGTTCATACCTGTCAAAAGAATCTGTTGCTACCTTGTAGAGGTAAATAAAAAGTTTGCTGCAGTGTCTTAGCGTAGGTGACACAGAATCCAGGGATATTAGGTCATCCTCCAAAAGTCTTTGAAATAGTTGTGTATTTGAAGGAAAGATGTTCAAGGGACTTATTTTCCTCAAGTCTGAGAAGCAGCCAAGTAATCGAACAGCATCTGCCAGTTTTTCGTACTGGATCTCTGTTTTGAAGAAATGAGAGTTGGCTGGCTCGTAGCGCATTGCTGCAGTCAATGTGCAGAACACAGTGTGAAGCAGTTCAAACACTTGATTCTGGTTTACTTTCTCCCAGCCATTCTTAGGCGGTGAGCACAAAGATCTTTCCATAGCAACAAGTAAAGATGTGACATATACAAATCCACCAACTTTTCTAAAAACAGTTCTTGTGCGATGACTTTCTCTCAGCACCAAGAGTAGGGCCTATAGACAAACCAAACAACCAAAACAAAGAAGAAGAAAAAAAAGCAACAGCATTAAAAACAGCTTGAAAAAAGGTAGGAATGTTTTTGTTTGATATGCTAACAAAATCCTCATGTCGTTTGTCAGAATTTGGTAATGCCTGAAGTCTCCCAAGATCAGCTTTGTACTGCAAGAGTCCCCATCCTCAAGAGCTTACAAAATAAAAAGAGAAAGAGCAGGGGAAAAACTAAAGCATTGCCCCTTAGAAACAAGCAATTAAAGAGATAAATGAAACTGCCAACAGAAAAGACTCGACCAAGCATAGAACGGAACCCAAAATCCCCAGGTAATTCCCTTAGTGATAAGGCAAAGAATATAGCTATTAGCAAGGAATCTACTCTGCCATCATACTTCACAAACAATTTCAAACAAGAGTGGGCAAATGACTACCCGTAGCAATGAGAAATCTAAACCTTCATGTATCCTAACACAGGTCTCCCAGAAATCTACAATATATAAGCACTTGGCAGCTGCAAAGCCACAAGAGCACTCAAAGATAACAGCATCAGCCCCTCAAACCCACTTATTTTTAGCCTTCCTCTACAATGAAATCCATAAATCTCTGAATTAAGTGAAGCTTGATTTTAAGAGTTGCTGTTCAAAAAATAAGCCTGAGAGAGAGAAAAACAAAAATAGATAAAAACTTACTTGCTGAACAAAAAGCCACAGTATAAACAGCAGAAACTACATGAAAATAGGTACTAGAGAATAATACTAATTTATCTGTGAAATAAGGGAGTGGGGAAGCCCATCCACTCAACCAAAACCAAGCAAACAACTGGCTGTCATGGGAAGTTTGACCCCCATGTTAATATGGAATATAGAAGAAAAAGTCTCTCTACACAAGGCATCACAAAACCCAGAAAAATGTTATTGATACAGAAAAACAGTCTAGAGGGGTGAGGGGAATCTTTCATGACCAAAAGTTTACTTCTTCAGAATCACACCTTTTTTTTTAAAGCACTCAGAAGATGGGTAGTGAAATAGACTGACATTCCTTTGAAGCCAGTATCACATTTTCTGTCAAACTTGGACAAACAGTAAGGGACACATCACTGCATCATTCTGGGCTGTCAGTTCCATAACCAAAACTTCCGAAAACAGTATCGATGGAAGACAAATACAGCAGGTCAGATGCAGGACAGAAACCCTGACTTTGAATCTTAAATCTGTTGGGAAACTGCAATATCATTTCTCTCTCCCCTTAAGTATCATGAATGAGAGATGCCCAAAAATGACTGAAGAACTTGATAGACAAAATACATCAAAGGAATAATTTTATTACTAACTTTCCTGTCTGTCTTTTGGAACAAAATGAAGCTGCTCATCTGCCAGAGAAATATTACAGCTCCTTTTAACAGAGATGACCCTAGATGTCTCAGAGTTCTCTCCAGTAAGACTCATTTACTTATTACTACTTGCCTCAGCTTTTCTATGCTAAAATAACAGTATTATGTCAATTTACAAAAATAACATTAGCTATTCTGAGAAAAACTGTGGGTCTAGATTAGCAGCCAAAAAAACCTAGTATGACAGAGAACAGATGAGAGTCTTCCCTCTTCCTCTTCCACTCGCAGCCTTACTTTCCTATCTTTCCACTATTTCGCTTAAGCAAGCAAGTTCTTGGGCTTTATCTTCTACTATGGTCACTATAATTCACATTTGTATTAACTAATTCAGCATTTGTAACTAACGAATTGGCAAAATAAAGTAGGTCTGTCACAGGAAAATGCAAGCCAGCACTGAAAATAAAGTTATGTGTTACTTGCTTGGTTTTTGCCTCCCACGTATTCTCATTATTTTTAACTGAATAATACTCCACCAGGGAAGATTATCATAACTGTAGAACCTCATTTCCCATTCACTGAGGCTGACTACAAGTGATGATGCTGAAAACACACACTCACTCACTAGCCTTCATCTCTGATTCTGAAACCCGCCACGGACAGATGGAAGAAAAAAAACCATGCATCAAATGTACGCATTTCAACTCCAGAGACGATCTACATCAGTAGCTAAGTACCATCCATCCAATCCAATTCCCTTCTCGGTGTTTTCTTTTTTAAAAAAGTGGCTTAGGAGCAAGAGTCCTGAGCAGTACTTCATTTACCCTTAAGATGTCCGCTTTCAGCTGCAGTTCCGTGGGTGGAGCAGAGTGCATCAGTCCCAACAAAGTGCCCATATCATCTTCTCCACTAGGTGATAACACCAACTGCTGGATGATCATCAGGGCGTGCTGCCGGCACTGGGGATACTTTACTATGTTGTGCACGCATCTCGCGCCACCAAACTCCCTGAAAATACCTATTCAGAAAGGCGGGGGGTGTGAGGGGGGAAATAAGCACATAAGGAGTGTGAAAGATACAATCAGTCAACAAATAATGGCAACAACAAAACACAAAAGGTATTTATTTTCATTTCTACAGAGTGAATGGGAGAAGTTTAGCCCTGTGGAATGACTTAGTACTATTTTTCCTCTCCTACCACAAATAAAAATAGAGCTTAAATGATATTCTTCTGACAATATTTTTCACTAAAGGTGTTGAGTACAAGGATGCAGGTCAGTTCTAAGAATTTCCTCAATAATTCGGTTACTCCAACAGTAGGTGTTCTTTTCATGCTAGAGTTCAAAGGGTCACAGGATGAAACAAAGAAAAAAAATACAGCAAACCCTCCATCCTTAGTGAAGACTACATGGTGTTTAGGTTAAGGACAGTGTTTATATTACATTTAGTTAATTGCCAAAAATATAACTAGGCTGCTTCCGGACAAAATGAGCAAACGAGGAACACTGGTTGAGAAGTGATTTAGTCTATCCACAAGATCTGCAAGATTCTGCAGAAGCTTTCTTGTGGCAAAACCTATCTCTGTAGAGACAAAGTTTAAGTCAAACAATGGTTCTCAAGCTTACTGGATATTCAGAAGAACACATGCACAGTATTAACTGAAAATTATATGAAAGTTGATTCAGAGAGCACCATAGAAACAAAACAGGAATATATATGGCACATATAATGTGTTTGGTACAGTATCAGCACCTAGAGTACTGCCCTATGTTGATTACTGAATATGCAAACAGAGTAGGAAATGGAGCAATGCTGCATTACTACATCAAAAGGGATCCTTTTCCTTGTGACCATAAACTAAAAGAGTAGTTTAAATTACCAAGTTCAGGATTAACAAGCTAATCAGGACATTTATTCCCTCTAATACACGTATACAAACCTGAGTCCCACTATCCATTTCTGATTTCCTGCCCCTTGCTTTCTCTGATGTTCTTTGGGTGAGATAAGGACTTGGACAAGGCAAAAGGAGAGGCCTCAGACCCTGAGACAATTAAGTTGGTTGCACACCTTTGTAGGCAAAGCGCATCTCCTCAGTGGTCAGGTCTCTCATTTTCAGAGAGACTGAGGTAACGTTTTATACTTCTCCCACTTAGTCTAGATTCTCAACCATCCAATGGATCTGTCTGGGTCTGGACACCCATATGCCTTGTTTGAATGCAATGTTATTAAGCAATATTCAGGAAACCTCATCAGAGATAACCCTTTAAGATCAGAAACGAAGCACTGAGTGTGGTATGAAGCACTGCAAGGCTGCGTAATGCCTATTTATGCCCCTCTGTGATGACCTCTGGATGCAGTGCCATTGGGCTCACATCCCAGTCACGCTGCACAGACAGCAACCGCAACTTCTTTGAGAAATGGTTTCTTAACTCCCCCTGTACAGCTCTGTCATACTCCTGAACTTGAAGAGCTACTGATGAAATGAGACCCTTGAACTTTCCAGGAGTCTTCAGAAACAACATCTGTGGCACCATCCCACAGTCCTGATGCATTTTACAGTACCCTCTGTTGTTTCTCTGGTGGATACTCAAACATCAACTCAGTACCAGGCAGTAACAATGAGGTACTGATGGCTGCTTCAAGCTTCCTAGGTGAGGTCAGGAATGTCATTTAACAGCAGACAAGGATCTGCCAGAAGTCAGGTGGACGCTATCATGGTCAGATCATAATCAATACCTCACAGGAGTGAGGCTCAGGTACCACAGACATTGAAGCCACACAGGTACATGTAGTCCAGTCCTATGAACCAAAACCTGCCAATTCTAAAATATGAGGTGGTTCAGTCCTTCAGAAATATTATTGTCACATACCTCCTCCCATTCACACTTAGAAATCAAACTATCCCAAGATTTCAAGATTTTTCATTTGTATTTTTTTCCCCAGTTTCTCCTTATATGGAAGCCCCCACATGTACCTTCATGCCATTCCTTTCTGACTCGTTTCTAATTCTGCCTTTTCTTACATGGCAAAACCAAAGTTGAGCTATAAATATACAGATGTGTAACTGATTCATTAAATTAATCTATAATCTATACCAGTTCCTCTCTAGAATGTCCTTATTTCAACCTAGTTCGCTTGCTTCTTGGTTCATCATTGAATAGATTCATTTAGTAAATGAAAGATCAGGTTTTTTCCTTTCCATTTACAGGAGAGGTAGCTTGGTGGACAAAAGGGAAGTGTCAAGGGAGACACATCTCAATGTCAGCAAAGCTTCTGGCAGTGTCATCCACAGCCTTCTCATAATCAACCTAACAAAATGGTCTAAAAACAATCATGACAGCCTGAATGCACAGCTAATTGAAACATCAGCTTGCAGTAACCTCTGCTTCACTGCAATGCCCTTCTGTTTCGACAAAGGACATGCCACTGGGGTTTATCTTGAGTGCTGTGAATAATGCCTTTCCTGATGGAACGGAGAACTTATCAAGTACATGGGCAAAGTCAGTGTATATGCTCAGTGGGAAGAATTCAGAAGCCAACTTCGAACATAGTTTGAAACCATAAGCTGAAACGCAACAGAACTTGAAAACAAGCACAACAGCAAAATGACATAGACAACACTAGAGGTTACTCCAACACCGTGCCTAAATTTAAATTAAAAAAATTGCCCAAGCAATAGCAGAAAAAAAGCCCAAGTTACAAGCTTTCCACCATTAGCTCAGGAGCTAATGTTTAAATAGTAAGCTGTCAACCAAGCTAGACAATTTTGAGGATTTAATTCTTAAATATTTCTCACAGATTGTAGTTTCTGCTACTTAAACAAAACCAAAAAGAAAAACAGAAGAAAACACCAGTCAGAATTAAGGAAAAAAAAAACTCCAACAAAACAAAAACCTCCAAGGCCAGAAACTTCCTGGTTCTTCACAGTGGTATCTGTTTCCCTCTACCTGCTCATTTTCTTCTTAATCTAATAGAACAGACAAAAAGGGTTTTAAACCAGTTATTACCCTTTCTCAATCTGTTATTTCAAGCTCTCAGAGCCAGCTTTTATTAATATGAGATACATATACTCTCTATTTCAATGTCGCTAAGTCTTGAAGCATCATATAAACCTGCCTGATTTAGAAAAGGAGGCTTGTAACAGAGCCCTATTTATACATACTGACTGGGAACATGCCTTTAAAATTTAAAAGCCATCTTTCACTAAAGATGCAAGCATTTTTCAACATGTTTAAGTAGACATGACACTGTGAACAGCAAACTACATGTCTAATTGTATGCTTAAAATATCTGATATAGAACCTGTGTTATAAGCCCTACTACAAATTATTATAGTCTTGTTGGAGAGTGATGGAGTGTGGTGGTTGCCTTCAGGTAAACAATAGCAAAGAAACTCAAGATTAAAAAAAACCCCAAACCAGACACTATCTTGTACTCCTTTATTTTATGCACTCTAGTTTATGCTGCCTATTTGCTCTGCTGGAAAAACCTGGCAAGAGAAAAAGTGTATTTCAGTGTGTTTGATTACTTGCCTGAAGACAGAAAGTCAAGACTACTTTGGTTTCAGGCATGATTTTCTGAGTTACTTTTTAATAAATATTTTGACAGGGGGGTCTCTACTTACCTGCATTTGTGTTTGATCCTTGTAGTAGTACTGTCAAGGTCTCCATAACCAATAAAGCCAGCTGCTTTTGGTCCTCAAATGAACTGTTTCTTGAATCTCCTAAAAAATAATTTCAGAAGTCAAAGTCACTGTGAGCTCAGTGGCCAACACTGCAGCTATACGTGTAGTTTCATATCCCCAACTTTTGTTTCTTGAAGCCACAAAACCATACCATATTTGAACACTAACAGGATCTGTTCTTGTTCAGTATTAAGTAATACTTTCTTCAAAACAGAAATTCCACACAGAAGCACAAACTACATTCACGTAATTGCAGTAAATGTGCCGATGATTCAACAGCTGTAGCAGACAAACCAACAAGTGGTATCTTAAACACAGAATAACACTTCAGAAAACACCCTTTAAAGAAGGGGAGGGGAAAAAAAAAAAGAAAAAAAAAAAGAGACTAACAAGAAGGTTGTGTGCACCCAGGTAGCACACTAATCAGATGACAGCTTGGTCCATTCACTTGAAAGAACGTGAGAACTGATGTGTTTTTCAGTGGAGTTGCTGGCAACAAAACTATCTAACAAAATGTTAATGCTCACTAACGAAACTTCAGACAATAAACCCAGGTGAAATGCTCAATAATTATGAGTAAAAAATAAGTGTCACTGATGCACACTAACTTGATTGCAGTTTGAATAAAGAAGGTAAAAAAAAAAAATCTCTGTGTGTGTGTGTATATGCACACATGGCACTTGACAGCGCACGCTTCTCAGGCTAAGCAGCCATGTAGCTTATCTTGAGATGTTCAATTCTGGAGATAACTAATCTTTTTTTTTTTTTTTTTTTCAGTGCTCAGATATGTGCTCTACAGTATTTTTCAAAGCTGGGGCTAAATACAATGAAATGCCCAATTACCTTTTGTGAGGAAGCGTATAGATACATAGATACTATATATTGCTCCTTCACTTGCTCTTTTCATGTTAAGTAAAAAATATTAAACCAATACATCAAAAATATATTTCAAAAAGGAAAATATTAACTCCTACTATTTTGCATTCATACAGCATCTTTCATTAAAGCTTGCCTCGAGCTTCTCGCAGGACATTAAGAAGGAAGCAATTCCAATGAGCTTTTAAGACGGCACAGCAGCCCCTTGCAGAGCTCAGCCCTTGAGGTACGTGTTCACTCTCTCGTTCCTCCTCTTAAGTGCTAGCCTCTGCCATTCCCAGCCAAAAAGAGACATGTATTAGTAAAATGGAAGAGTACACACTACCTTGATCATTCAGTGCCTGAGTAGGATCTTTCAGAAGGGCTGCATATTTATGAAGAAGATTTACCATCACCTCCAGAAGTCCCACTTCCCTGAAGACATCCTTAAAGATGTAGTCATGACGGGTGAACTTAAGGAGTGTCTTCATGGCAATGATGCTACACTGAAAAGAAGTGCTGGATTTTAAAAGGATGCTCACACTGATCAGTTCTTTACAGGGTATGTAATTCAAGCTGAAGACAACAAATTCCAGCATCTCAAAGTATTTGGTCTGCACTTCTGGAAGTTTAGGAATTTTCTCTGCAAACTGAGACAATGTGTGCTGTGATTCCAAAATGAAGTAGTTGGCATTGTCCGCCATATAAATATTCATGATGGCATCAAGGATGATTTGTGCTAGATAGTTGGTTTTTGCTCTCAAAAATGCATTCTGGAGGACTGAAAATGCTTGAATATTTCTCACACTGTGACCTAAATCAGGAAACAAAGTGGAATGGGAGGAAAAAGGAAAGAGAAAGTTCTTAATCATCATAAACGATAAGCACAATTATTAATAATGATCCATACATTTTAATGTGTGACTAAAATAACAGCGTATGTCATGTAGAATAAATATTTTTATTAAAATTGACTCTTCAAAAAAGCCTCTGCATGATCACTTACATTACAAATCCTACAATCTACTGTTCTTTGAAAGTCAGTGTTTACATAAGCGGCTAAATGAAAGATCATTTTTTTAAGACAGGGTAAGTAAGCTGACCAATTGTTAAAACATGAAAAGGGATAGAGTTTTAGAGACAAAGCAAAGCCTTCCTGTCATCTACACAAACCATAAGAAAACTCATTACAGCACCAGTAACATGTTCTCCATTCCATAATGCAGAACACAACTCTGTCCTCTACAAGCATTTGGCAGGCTAAGTTTAGAGTAACAGCCATCTGTGTCCCCTCACTCAACAGTGCAATAAGCAACCACAAATCCTCGTCAGCCAGGTTCAAAGCTAGACAACATGCACGGCCTCCAAATTATCCTCCTGCTTCCACTATTTGGCATTTGCCTGCAAGAAGAGAGCTACATGTAGAGAACGTCCACAGGGCAGCGTAGGGCTGGCAGTTGCCTGCCTTCCATAGAGAGGCTGCTCCTGCTCAGGTCTGCGTCCACTGGCATGAACAACCACACCGATACTGGAAGGTGGCACCTGGTTGGCTTTGGGAGTCAGGCCTGGGAATAAGAAAGCTTGCCAGGCTCCAGTACTGTTAATGATTAGGGAATTAAAACAAAGGGAAAGATTTTTTAAAGCATAAGGTAGCTATAATATTAGCACACAAAGACCTCCCATCTTTAAAAGCTCAAATTTCTTCTGAAAAGTGCCTTTAAGTTGAATAAGATCTCATTCATTTAGCCAAAGAATGCATAATTTATGAATGCTCCTGCAGCTCCTGGATTCTTCTATGGGCAGATATTATTCTTATTCTACTAAAAGCCTCATAGCCAACTTTTAAAATTTCTGTAGGAACAGTACAAGTCACGGTGGACAAATCCCATGATACAGAAAACAACTAATGGTAAAAATAATTTAAAAAAAAAATAAATCAAGAGTGACAACCTGAAACATTCTAAACAAAGCATGTAGGATGCTCTAATGATAGAAACCTTATTTTCAAACAAGCTATAAGCAAACCATTAACCTGATTTAAAAACCCTTTCACAAACAAAGAATCCTGATTTATTACATATGCTCTGTGGAATGCTACTCTCTCTACTGTTTATAAATTAAGTTGTCCAATTTAAAGGTAAATTGAATTATCTTTGTGTCTAGCCTCATCACCTTCCCTACCAGTATTTTTTCAGAAGGTAATAGGAAACTTGCTTGGAAACTAACATGGAACAATTTCACATACTGGAAGAATATTAATGTTACATTATAAGTCACACTCATTTGTTTCTAAAAGGACATTTTTTACATGCTTTCTTTACAATCAAAAATGTTGAAAAGGGCATTTAGAGCTTATTAAATGTGACAGGAAAATAGGAAGTGACAGACCCAACTCTTTATATTCTAATTTAGTTGTTCCAGGCAATCAAGGAGACTAAAAAATTATCTTTGATTATTACGAGGAGCCCTGAAGAAACCAAATCTTAACTAGCTCTTCAGAGTTCAAGAACTAAAAGGATTTAAATAAAAGCAATTAAGAAAATGAGCTAATATGGTCTGCATAAAAAGAAAACTTGCCAATGTAATGATAAGCAGGTAAAATGAACTGAGAGATGTCATGACAAATACCAGAAAATTAATTAAAAGTATTCCTTTGGAGATTGGAACAGGCCATGGCTCTCTAGTGTTATTGTACCAGAAAAGTTGATTAGCTTAAGCAAAAATTAGTATATTGTTAACAAAACATGGAGGAATTAAGCTCTGAGTGTGACTATCATCATCTTTCTCTATTTAGTCCAAAGGGAAAACAATTCCCATGAACAGTGAACTCTCTCAATATTAGAGAAAGGAAGCCATTGTCCAGGGAACCTACATATACAAGAGAAACAATGAAAGTAAATCCATTAGCCTATAAATCTATAAAAGTAGCCCTATCACGAAATCTTTTCTTGTATCCCTAGTATTACTAAATCCCATAAAAAGTCTAACTAACAAACTAACTTCACGGTCACTATTAAATTCCAAACTCCTTACACATACAGGACTTACCTGAATTTTAAGTTTATACACAGGACGTGAAAAATAAGTTTATTTTTACAAAACCATTTCCCCCCTCAGACCTCCTCAACCTTATCTCTATATGATAACTGACTGTGGTTGTAAGCACACCACAGATTTCACCACTCTGTGAACACTGGTGATGAAACAATAGATTTCAGCTCACAAGTTACTCTTGCCTAAGCTGACAAAAGCTAACAGAAAGCAAACCTGGCCAAAAAATAAAAATAATAAAAAAAAAAATCAAACCAATACATCAGCCTTTCACATCAGTTTAGTAAGAGCAGCTTAAAACACCATAAATCAAATCAGTGCATCTCTTCATTACAACAATCTCTTAAAATGTTCACATAGAAACTGCTCAGCTCTGCAGCGAGAGATGTTTGACACAGCTTTCAGTCCTCAAAGACAAAAGCCCTTTCTTCTTTGGGTACTAACTCCAAAATAGAACCTTTGAGACCAACAGAACTTAAGTATTTGATATGCAGTCTTATTAAACCTAGACTCAACTGCAAATGGTTTGTGCATTTGCTTCATACAGCTTCTCTGTATTTTGGTTTTTACATTAAAAAAAAACCAAAAACAAAAACAAACACCACCCCCCACCCCCCCCAAAAAAAAAAAAAAACAAAGAAACAAACAGTGGGAGAAGGAAAGCAGACTTACCTTTGCCTGCAGGCTGTGGGACTGCAAATCCAGGTAGTAGGAAAGGTACTCCAGTGGTAACACCAGCTGGCTTTAATTCATTGACACCATATGTTGTTAAGGAAGTTATCAAATTAACTAAATCCTTCAAAGCATCCTTAGATTCTGCCTCTTTTGCCTGTTCTAATCTAAAGAAAATACAAGAGATCAAGTTAGCAGCACTAGTCTATTTCAACTCAAATCACTTTAACAAGATATCTCCTCCGTTTTACTCTATCAATTCAGAGACCACACTTTCACTCTCGTGTTCCTGCAGTATTTTATGTATTCTCTCTTCATATTTATTACCATTAAGTCAGTAAAACATTACTGGATTTATGAGAGCATACATTTATTTACCACAGAAATTCACCTCATGAATCTTTCCTTGAACTCATAGTCTGCTAAAAAGCAGCACAGACACAAAAATTACTTTTAAAATCCTCTCACAAACATGAAGCTACTGGATAGGAAAATACCGAGATAGTCTGTCATTAAATAAATCCATAATTAACTTGCTAGATTATATTTGCCACTTTGAGAGTTAATCTTTTATGCTAAATAACATTATCTTGGTAGAAGCCTAACACTTAGAAGCACACAATGAAGCATTTTCATTAGACCTACAGACCCTTACCTTTGAACACAAGAGGACGGAAATGCTAACACCCCATTCCAACTATTGTTTCCCACCAGCAACATGCCACCAGACCAAACCCTAAAAACTGACTCCAAAACCTAGAACAATCCTCATTTTCTTTCTACTTCACCAAAAATGAAACCACATTTAATTACTTACTAACTTTATAGTCTCTACTGAGCTCGGGACAAAGCTGGGGACCACAATCTCCTATTCACTCATGCAATGCAAGCTATATTTTTCTTCTTGCTGACAAGTGACCAGAGGAGACCCCTAGAAGCAGCTCATTCTGCATCCTTCATCTTCTTCTCAGTCAGACATATGGCTGAACATCCTTCAAACAGCCATTACAGAAGCATTTAGCTCACCTATTGCCATTCTACTAATCCTCCACATGCCCTGCCCTTTCACATCATCAAGGTGAAAGTACATACTTGCTCCTTTGGTCCTCACAGACCTCCTGCAATTTCTCATTAAGTCACCTTCTTCACACATCCTTTTGCATTACCAACTCCAAAGTCTTTCTTTGCAGCTTGATGCTCAGTGTCCAGATTTCACACTCCCATGTGAAAGTCATCTTCACAATAGTGCCATAAATCTGAACAAGTCTCTGTCAGTAGGTTTGAGCCAAAACATGTCCATGGAGAAAACGCTACTTTTGTTCATCACTGAGCAATACATAGGCTTGTCCAAGGTGATTGTTTTTGAAATAAACTATGCTTTGATTTGAAGATCAAATAAACTAAAGCTTATAAGAAACAGCAAGAGATATGGTCATCGAAACAGCAGTCATGTTTTGAACCATCTTCCATCTCCTGAACAACACACAAATCACTAACAAATACACCACACATTGGTAGGCACTGTTCACCTTATCCCAGGCATTTCTTGAAGAGCGTTAGCAAGTTTTCTAGAGCCACCTCAGGAAGAATTGAGGTTAATGCAATCCTACACTTTTAACCATTACCGATATCAACTAAAGAACCCAGGTGCTCTCCTTCTTCAATAAGACATGCAAACCTCTTGTCTTCTATACCTCTGTCAGGGATCCCCCATTCTTTGACTTAAAGGATGAGCAAGCTCAGGAGAAAGTTTGTTTAAAACACTTCATCTACAGAGGATCGCTTTTGTAGCTGGAAATGAAATTAGTAATGACAGCATATTCCCCTCAAATTCCACCTAAACTCTGGCTGTCAGTTTCCGGAAAACAGCTGAGTTTAAATTATATTGCTTTGAACAAATGCATTACTAAATAAAACGTACTCAAACCCACCATTTATACTACAAGAACAATAACAATTCCTTAAAAGGTGTTTGAGCTTTTGTAGCATGGAAAGTAATTTATGAATTATTTTAGTTGTGATTAAGAATTTAAAATGCTATGTCTATGTCTGGTATACATTTAAAACAAACAAACAAAAACCCCCAAAACATACTATGCAGTAGAAAATTTAGTTAAAATATTTGGGTGCCAAAATCCAGCATCCTAGCACTCAAAATGAATGACTTGAAAGAGGGAGATAACATTAACACTTCTCATTAATGGCCATTACAGCACTACGTATCTTTAAGCCAAGAATACTTCATAAGGTGTACACTCATAAACAACATTTCCCAGTTTCTGTCTTGGATTTGTAAAACACATGTATTTCAACAGCTAAGTATACTTCTTCAGAACTTCATATCCAAACAAACCAACACAGACTGACCATAGATTTTACACAGATAACGCAGTAGATACTAATTTGCTGACTGAGAAAGAAAAGAATGAAGCTTCTTTCATTGAACAAAATAAAATCATGGATGGATCATACACGCAAGCTTTGTTTGTGCAGGTATTTTCATTATCCTATTTTGTGATGCATTAGCAAGTTAGCAGTACCCTTAATAAAAATACAAAATAAAAAAAATACATATATACACTGATTCTCAAGGAACAGGAGATTTCTCTTCAGCATTCTGGTATTAGAGCTTATGTACAAAAATATCTCTTTAATACTAAACAGCATGTCTTCAGTACTAAGTAGCACGCACCACACTTATGTACATGATTTTTCATTATAATAGTATGTTGAAACAAAACAATCTCCAACCAAACCCCAAAATCACTAGTTGCAGTCAAAATTTTATTTTCTAAATTCTTTCTAAAGTTTTATTATAAATTGGTTTTAAGCATTTGCTTTCCTAGCACATACAGAAACATTTAGTAATAAACCAATACCGATGAATAAAAAGTTAAACAATGTATTTTCATAAACAGAGAGAAGCACATAATTTCAGCTTTTGGTCCCAATATCTTCATTTCATAATAACCCATAGTCACTTATTTGTTCAAACTTATTCACCTATTCTTTATTAAGAAATCTTTTCAGAAAAAGCTCACAGTGATCTGTCTGCATTCCTTCAAGCACTTTGGCATACCTGAGGAGGAGGTCACAGAGGAAGTTGTATCCTTGCCATATCCTAAAATCATCCAACAACGTTTGGGATACATCACTGGAGTCTTTGAGAAAACAAGAAAGTCCAGCAAACATCTCAACTATTTCTAGGGGAGAAAGGTCATCAGACTGCTGCATGTTCTGAACACACGTGGACAAACATTCCTTTTCTGAAAAGAATCGCAATTAAGAAATTTAGGATTTTACTGACATTAATTACAGCAAGAAACATAAGTGGTACAAGAATGATGACAATAAGGTAACTATTATTTATCTCTCTCTCATCATAGAATCATTTAAAGTCACAGAGCACTTGAAGATGAGTAGGATTCTCAAGTGGCTTTAGATCTGAACCCTAACCTGGTTTTGCCAGCCCCTTCCTCCTTTCTATAACCTTTACTCTTGTAAGGAGTACAGATATATACTGTTTTTTACCTAGAAAGTTTGGCTGGATAACTCATCAGAATAAAAAGACAAATATGGCAACTGTAAATAATTCTAAAGCATCTTTTTTATTTTAAAACACAAAGTTATACAAAGCACTGAGTTAAGCTGTTACTGATATTATGTAAAACCCTAACAGAAACCTTTACACCATGTCTTCTTATTGCCACTCTGATTAGGATTTCTTTGGCTGACATATTTGCTTGCCCGATAAATCTCGATCAAAGAGAGACAGCTTTCTCATTCTGCCTGCCTCTCATGCTCCACCAGTTCATTGGTCAGTTGCAAAAAGCTTTCCCAAATCTGTAGTCAGATTTTTAGGCTGCACTCCTGTTTTAAAGATGCTCCTTTCAATTACTTGCTGTTTTAACTTTGCAGCATGCACAAGTGCAAATCTTTCTAGCTAGACTGATAACAAAAATTCCCAGAAATCAAAACAAAGCATGAGATAGTGAAAGGATGCTCTTTTGTGTACAACAAAACATCTTACTTTTTTCCTGAACATGAGATGAACTTCTTGACAGATGTTGTTATCTCTTAAGTTCTTTTTTTTTTTTAATCAACAAGACACAGAGAATGACAACTGGTTTTCTTTTTAAGATTTTATTTCACTTTTTAAAGAACCTAGAATATCTTCTGATACACCAGCCTCACTCCTCTGTGAATCAAGCTAATAGAGAAGTGATAATGGTAGTAGCTGCAATATGCCAAATGACACAGTCAAAACTCAGTTATTTTCTTTGTTGCTCATCTCAATGTTTTCACTTATACACATATGCATTCTACAGTCATCAAAAACCCACCAGGAGGCTGTTACAGATGCAGGCAAAATACCTATCACCTTTTAAATCCTACCTGAAAATAAAAGTCCTACCTGCAAACACTTAACTGATGACTATTCTGTGCTTCCAAGTGATACTGTACATTCACATCTTTCTGACTGGAATTGGAAACACGCTGCTAGCACAAGAAAAAACACAGACTAAAATTTTCTGTGAAGTATGTGGGAGCAGGGTGACATATTTCATAAACTGTCAAAATGGTTTTGTGAAGCCTTGTAACTACTTGCTTTCCAGAGTGTGAGGAAACTGTAGGTTTCTTTTTTTCCCCAGTAGGTGTACACTGCTAAAATGTATGATAAGGATGTTAGTTCACTTCAACAGTCATTCCAATCTAAAAACTACAAATGCTTCTGTGTGGTCCTACAGTCTAAAAGCCCTAAATATAATATTAAAAATATATTCTACCAAATTTCCTGCCTCAAATCCTACATAACTAAACACCCATGCAGTTTTAAATTCATGCAATACAGGTATTTCATATGCAAAGCTGCCCTTGCTAAGCAGACTGTGACCAGTCCCTTGTAAAGATACATGATGAATAAAGTACTTCTTATATTAGCTACCAAGATCTCTAACCAGCTACAGAAATACCCCTGTACACTACAGTTTCCATGCCTGAAACAGTCAGGATGCCATTTGTCTCAAAAAAGGACAGGAGGTAAAATGGAATTATTCTGGCTGCTTCAGTCATTTGGTGGCTCGCAGTCTGGATTAAACTCATGAGATTATTTTATTTTGGCCTTCGAGATGCACAAAATCCACAATCTCTAAGCTGTGTGGTAAGGTGAGGAAGAGAAGAGCCTGGCAGAAGCAACACAGGCTGACTGAACGGTCAGCAAACTAGTCAGTCAGCCAACAAGGAACATGCAGAGGCTGCAAACCCATCCAGCAGCCAGCCTCTTTCCAGATGTGTCCCAAAAGCTCCAAATCAGATTGTGACATGACCTCTAGGACAGGCTACATGTAAGCTTCCCAGGGGCACCAGTACTCAAAGTCCACCTCCTTCAGGGAGAGGCTTGGGTCTCAGCCAAGGGAAGAGAAGCCTTCCTGGGCCAAGCCCTAGGAACACCATCCTCAGGCTGAGGAACCTGCAGGGAAGCTGAGCTGGACCACAGATGAAGAAGCAAACTGCCTGTTCCAACATGCCATCAATAAGCACTTGGAGGTCCACACTCAAGTGTTTCTGTGCCCATACACTGTGCTCCCTTGAGGATTTCCTAGTGCCTGTATTACTCAGGTTTTGCTGTTATCAGGGTATGCCAGTCCCTGATGCTCTGGATAATGGAGAGTGCACTGCAAATGATTGGCGGTTATAATGGTCTGACCCAGCCTCTTCCTGCAAAAGCAAGACGTCTGTGAGAAAGAACCTCCTCCCAGCATACCCAAATTAGCTCTCCCCAGTTTGCGTAATACACCAGTATTTACTACATGGGCTTCTAATAGATCAAACTGCGTCAGCAGAACACATGGAGCTGGTTCCTCTTCCTGCGGCTTCCTCAGATGTCTCTCCACTTTCATTGCCAACTAGAGTGGTACCCAAACAAGCAGCTGTAAACAGGACATTGCTAGCTTGCCTCGTGCCTCTGCAAGGAGCGCTGCTGCTAACTCAAACACAGGGCAGAAACCAACTAAATCCCATTAAGAATTAATGCTCACAGTAAAAGTGACAAACTTATGCATCTTCCCAGTGACCACTGTTCAATACAAGCAGCTCCTGAAGATCCTGAAAGCCTTTCCTTTGGTTAGCATAAACTCCACACAAAAACAAGAGAGGAAAATCCATCTTCCAATGTTAACCTGAAATAGGGATGAGGCAGACTGAACTACAAACACCTCCCTCACTACACAAATGCTCTGAAATTTTACCACTATGTAAATGTCTACATGTCCAAAAAAAAAAAAGGCCTGTAACCTTTCCTTGATCTATTATTCCCATGCCTATTTCCTAACTAAGCAAATTATGAAAGAAGAACAGAAAAAACTCAATAATTAATACTGGATAAAGCCACATACCGTGAATGTACTTCACTACATTGACACTAAGGCCGTGACGCGATATGGTCATTAGTACTTCCCCTGCACTCTTCCTCCAAGGCAGATTATAGGGAGGGCACCATGAGGTTATTGCACTGAATAGAAGCTGGAGATCATCCTTTTGAGCCAGTTCTTCTGCCGGGGACACAAAACTGCACAATTTTACTAGGATCTGAAACAGTAAATCATGAAACACCTAGCATTAATACCCTGATCATTGCTGGTTTTGTCTAGACTTAGTGAAAGGCAAAACATTCTTCCATTTAGCACAAATATAAAAAAAAGGCAATGGGCAAATTCCCTTTGCATGTTGCTTCTGTGATTTGAATTGAAGACAAGGTTATTCAACACATGGTTATTTCAAGTCCCAGTTCAGTCTAAAACGACTAGCAAAAGATTAGCAGTAGAGTTCAAATCTCTCAGGCTGGCACAGCATACTTGTATGGATTCCAGGTGATTTCAACTCTTGGAGAATCTACCCATTACCTAACATACTAAATGCTGCAGTGAGGCAGAGGCTCTGCAAAGCAAACTGTTGTATCCCTTCCTAACGCAGGAAGAAGGCTATTGATGTGTTGTTAGCAGAGCAGCATCCATACCATCTTGGCCAAACAAAACCAGGCAAAATAGTATAGTAGGAAAGGATACAACAACACTATAGATGCACCTGGATGACCAACTCCTGAATCTGCATTTCCATGTTACCTTAAACCAGACAAAACACAGCCACGCAACCAGTTACTACGCTGCATTCCCTTTTCTGAATGTTTTGAGGACATCTGATGTCCATTTCATGTCTTATGCAGCAAAAGTTGAGGCTCCCTCTTAGAAAACTGCAGGAAGACTTTGCAAGGCTGCCTGCATCCAGAGGAGGCTTGGAAGCTATCTGAAACCTCACCCATTCCAGACAGCTCATTTGAGAACACCACTTTACAGCCCTTGAAGAGGGACAGAAAAGAGCTGAGCTGTAGCATATTCAGGAGGACTTTATGTGGTAACACTGATCATTTATTAACTCTGCTGACTGAAACACAGCAAAGCGTTTTCTGAAAGGCAGCTCATGGCACACCGTGATTTCTGCTTTGGAAGACAGCTTGTGGTACTAAGACCAAAAATAGAGGCAAATGGGCATGTTCTCGTATAGTGACTGTTACTGGGCAGACACTGTGGCTAGTAATTGTGGGAATAAGGCTCATCAAATCCCTGAAGAATGTGATGCTGGTAGATCTCTACGGTTTTGCAGATGTGGCTACAATGACCGTACATAGAGACACGTCCAACATGCACATGGAAACTTATAGTATGATCAGCAACCCCTTTCCTAACAGTAACTGTCAGCTCCTTCTAAAAGTTTCAATAGGAGAACATATGGGAATTTCTTTGCAAGATCTCCAACTGAAGCTTCAGAAACCAGGAGCAGGTCAGTTGGAGTCCCTGGTCTCCCTAGGAAATCTGGAGGATAACTGTACCAGTAACTGCAAGCTCAGATGGTTCATTCTCCTATTTCAATGATTTCCTTCCATATTTATTGTTTATTTACATAATTAAAGGGAAAATAGCATATGATAAATTAATTCATAGATTATTATCAACACTTATGGTTTTTACTATGTCTATTTCAATCAGAAATGGCCAAAGATACCAAAGACTAGGACCAGTTAGATTAAAACAGAGTAACAGTCAACATGTTGCTCCCTTTAAGCTGCTGCCCAGAAGAGCTGCATACATTCTTGTGGAGGAGATACTTGCTGAAGCCAAAAGCCACAGGGGGAGTAGAAATTCAACCTCAACTGCGCTTGTAGGAAAATCCATCTTACTCTGAGCCAACTGTTTGTGAAGAATCAGAAGAGCAAAACCCAGTTCAAGTGAGAAGTTTCTGGACTTTTCTCAAGTGAAGCATTTGCATTCCTCTTGCAAATTCCATGACCTATTTTACCTTTCTTACCTGTACAAAGACTTTCTGTAGCAGCGCTCGGCGCTCTGCGAGAGGTAGTTCATTCTGTGCTCCTCCAACTACCTCAGGCACATGTGGAAGGTCAAAAAACAGATACAGACATTTAACAAGTGTGGAAGGCACCGACATTGTAGTCATGCAGTCCACAGTTTTCTGGGGAAAAAGAAAACAGAGCAAAAAACCAGTTCAGCATATTACTGCACTGAAAAAGTCACGGTCCTGTACTGCAACTGACTCAAATGCTGTTTTTTCTTTCTCACACCACTGGTGAGGTGTCCACGTGGCAGTACAGCTTTACCATCTATTCTTGAATGCCTACCTAAACAGTAACCTTAAAAATAGGATCATAATTTATTTACATGACAGTAACATCTAACAGCCAAAGTTCAGAGCAGTCACCGCACAAGACAAACAAAAACTGACAGTCTCTGCCAAGAGAAGCTTGTAAGTTAATTACAAGACCTTCAGACAAGCCCTCATTAGATACCTATTTTTTGTAGCAGTAGAAATGGGAGTGGGAGGAGGACTATTCAATTTATCCACTCACTTGACAAGAAGGTATAAGCAGGCATAAGGAGCAAGGTAGTAGAAAGCATCAGTGGGAAGAAAAGAAACTAATGTGGAGGCTGGTGACATACTAAACACAGATAAGGTGATGTGCTGAATGATAAAGGCAGATTAGAGCAGAAAGAACAAACCACGTAGCCACCCAGTACATTGCCAGAGATTAGCTCTCTGACAGAGGGCAGCACCGAAAGCAGAGGCAGTAAAGATTCACAGTATCGCCCACTCATCACTGCTGCTGGCTTCACTTTTCACAACTGCTGCTGCCCTCCTTGAATGGGGAGCCCAAGTTCAAAACCCGAGTGATTTAGGTGCTGTATGACATGCATCTCATGGGGCACTATGCAGCAGCATGCAAGAAAAGCCTTTGAGAAACAACAGAAGTTATGTACATAATTCAAAAGACCATTACAAATTAAAGTTCCAAAACAATTATTTTTTTCTTCAGCAACTGAAACCTCAAGGAGCTAAAGCAGAAGTTCTGTGGCAATATAACAGAAAAAAGGATCTTAACATATAAAGCTGAATATAGTTACAATACCTTTTAGTGTGTGTTCATGCAGCTCATTATTACTTTGTCCTGTCTCTCCCACCCCACAATTTATTTTTAGCCTTGCTGTTTAAGACTAACCTGTCCTGATGAAGCTAGTAAATTGATTGTGGTGAGCAGCATCCAACCTCTACTTGCTTCTTCACTTTGATTGACCTCCAGAAACTGGACTATGGCACGACTTGCAGCTTCTGTAGGGATGCAGTTAAAAAAATGCAATAAGAATTCAATCTGATAGTCTGCAGAAGAGAACACATCCTCTCAACAGTCTCGAGCACTGAGCACAAATTCACCTCTGCAGCACTACTTGAAAAAAGGACTAAGCTTAGGCCTACACTCCCCAGACACACATTCCATTCTTACACACACACTTGACTTTGACACTAGCAAGTCTGCAAAAAGTACATTTTTAGGTCATGCACCATCCTTTACACCAGCAGACAGCTTTCAGTAACATGCAGCAGCTTTTGTTTGAGTATTCTGGTTTTATCAAATACAACATACTCTCTCCCAAAGACATAAAGTCACCACCCTTCCAACTCACAACATCCTATGATTCTATGATCACTTAGTGGTCTCAGTGGGAAAAGCTGATACTCAATTCCTGAAAAAAAAGCACTGCACTGAAACAACGGTACGGAGGATAATGGTAAAAGACTGGAGGGAAGGAGAGGTGCAGAAAGACAAAAGGAAAAAAAAAACAAACAACCAGGAACAAGAAGTAAAATTAAGACTAAGATCAGCAATTACCACATCCTCATCCTACATTTTTTGGAAAATGAAAATGCTAACAACTTATGGCTAATTCCTATGATCCAGGGACCACCTCTAGAATCAGATGCTATTCTGCATCAGTCAGAGACAAAGATAAATATTCAGCCTAGTAAACAAGTTATCAGCCTCCATAAATAAATCAACAGAAAAAGCAATCCTATTTTACTACTGTCTGAATACACAGATTATGTTCTTCTTATGTTAAGAAATCTATAATGCCAGTCATGATGACTGTCCATAACTGTTGAGGGAAATCTAAAACCATTTTTCATTAATAATGGCATATTGATCATCTTCAGTGCTTTTAGCGTCAGCTAGGACAGAAAAGGAAGGTGCATAATATGACTTAAAAAAAGGAATTACAAAGGAATTACTAATGGAGGAACAGATCAGCAACTGAAGAAAAATCCAATTTTAATTTTGGTTTGTTTACTTCATCTGCTGTCAACATTCCCCAGCACATACCTGTGAAGGAGTTTGTTCTAAAGTAAACACATTTTATACAGCAAAGTACTTATCAAACTTCCAGCATTGACTACACTGAAAAGATAATTTTCTGGAACACCAGATTGTAAGCTGAGCTGGACTAGTAAACTTACAAAGCAGATGATCCTAGAAGATATCTACAGTTGTCCTATTTACATTCCTAACATTAACTTTGGCCAAGAGAGACTACCACCACACAGAAGCAAAGCCATCAGCCACCACGTGTACTGGTGCATCAGCGTAACAAAAATCAAGCTGTAAAGAAACACTTTTATCAAGAGGACAGTTGGTAGACGAAGAGCAGTGATTAACCCCTCCACCCTATGCTTGTTAGACTACATGTGGAATACTGCGTCCAGTTTCGGTCTCAACCCAATACAGGGAAGACAATGATCAATAGGACTTCAGCCGAGGGACACCAAGATGTCTATGGGCTGAAGCACCCACCCTGTGAGGAGAGGCTGAGGAACCAGGAAGAGGGGACAGCCTCAGTGGCACCGAACAGCAGCCTCAGTGCCCATGGTGGGAGGAGCCATCAAGAAGTCAGAGCTGGGCTCTTCACAGCACTGCACGGCTGGAAGGTGAAAGACAACAGGCTTAAATCAAGAGAGGTTCAGACTGCATGTAACAAGAAGTTTTTCCCCACCCTAAGGACAGAGATGCATGGAAACTGGGCCCAGAGAGGGTGTGCTGCCTCCAGCTTTGGAGGTTTTCAAGACGCAACAGGATTGAGCCCTGCGCAACCTGGTCCCATCTCACAGTTGGTTTGGCTGTGAGCAGGAGGTCAGACAAGAGACCTCTCTTATTCTGATTTTCTCTCACATGGAAAAAGGTCTACTCTATGTCTCACTCAGGGATTTCCCATCACCCATGCTGGTGTCAGTTTCATTCCCTTCCAGTGCAAAGAGGATGTATTTTTCTCTAAAGCCCTGAAACCCTTTTATAGTCATAATCCTAGAAAAAAAGATAAAGAGGGACAGATTTAAGGTAAAAATCCAGATTTAGTTCATTTGTACAATGCATATTTTCCCTTTTTTTTTTTGTTTCCTAGCCTTATTCTCATAACAGGTTCTTGCACAAACCTTTGGCTTCTCCAATTCTAGTGCTGAAGTAAGGAGAGGCACCTACCAAATCCTTGCGTGAGACTGACTGAGATAAAAAAAAAGTTTGAAATACCAAGGTGAAAAGTAAGGCAATTTTTAAAACTCACACAAATGTGGACACACGCAGCAACCTCCCTGCATGCTCACCTGAAGTACCTGGTGAGCAATTTGTTTTCCAAAACCACTGATGCAAAACATCAGCCAGATGGTTGGGTGCATGAGCAGTCCAACTTAGAAAGCACAACAGCCATGCCACAGCCACAGTCCCTGCACTAGAGGTATATACAAAACACCAGAATTCCTGGTAAAAGCCACTTTCCTAAATTCTGAGTAGTAAGTGTGTCTAAAGCATGTGCTGCTTCTACAGTGACAAGGCCCCACCACCTAGAGTTAGGTGAAATTCAGTAGGCTCGTTCTCTTTCTATCTGACCACAGACAGAGCTGGGAAATCAATCTCTAACTGTAAACAGGTACAACTGGTACCAAAATCAAGGTGTGCACAGCCTCCTTTGGGCACAGTCTCTAAAAGCCACCGGTAGAACAGGACCTCTTTTAGTCATCTTTGAAAGTGAGAATCAGGGGTTAAGTATATGCTTCTGAAAGAGTCATCATGCTGCTGGCATCCTAAATGGCATAGCAGTTGAAACTATAAATAGCAGTTTCAAAACTGTCAGTCTTAATTAAACACTACCTAAAACACAGACAGCATTTTAAGTGCAGGAAGAAGTTATCTTCTCGTCTGCTCCGAGCAAATTTGATAGCACTATCATTTAAGATTAATTTCTATCAGCACTAGTCTGAATTTATTTCTTGTACATTTTCCCTGGTGTTGAAGTGCTCAAGTCATCTTTTCAATATAACATCCTCTATGTGCCCCACACAGATGTCCTTAGCCCTCAACTTCTGCAGAACAAGCCACTAAATCTAGGATTAGGACATGCTAGTGAGTAAAAATAGCAGAAGAGCAAAGAGAAAAACCTATAAAATAATATGTAAGTACACATATCTTGACAATTGTGCAAGCATGATGTATACAAGTATGACTACAATTATGTGGTCACATGGTTAATACACAGTAGTCAGATTTTTCAGCATGGATTCAGTATATATGGGATAGAGGTTTGGTAGAATAAAATGTTTCACATATAAGAGATGGAATGGGTGCTTTGCATCCTGGACTTCAGAAAAGCAGCAGATGGAAAGCAATGGGATTAGATCCATTCAGACTGCATTGCAAGCAACGTCACTGCCTGTAGCAACAGCACTAAGGACAAAGACAAATCCAGTACATGAAGCTTTTAGTTAGATGTTCTAGTACCATAAACAGCATACAATAGTGTCATCAGACTTTTGTATAGCTTATTTTTACCCTCTACTACTTCTTGCAGAGAATGCCTGGAAACACAGTCCGATACCTAGAGTTAAAGAATACAAATTGTTCCAACTGCCTAGACAGTGAGAGAGAAGTATCAACCCAAACGAAAATGAGATGACAAAAAGCCTTCCTTCAATCAACAGGAACAGTGCAGTGCTGTCGTCACAAGTCACAGATATGAAGTGGCTGATGCCTTTGCAGTGTGCAGAAACAGAGAGCTGCTCATCCAAAGATAAACCACTCAACTGTGCCAGCATTCAGCCTCACTAATCCAGCTGATAAAAGAACAGGCTTTCTAGGATCTCTTGGAAAGGCATTATAATGCAGTACGCTTGCCTTGCATAAGATCTGGTAAAGAGCATCAAAAATAAATTGAAGGTTAAGAAAAAGTAACAAGATA